ATTGAACCTTGAAACCTATGCAGTTGAATTCAGGAGCTCCATACGAATTGAATGGCAACCTCGCGCTCAATTTATATTAACGCCTCTTCTATTCGCTATTTTTCGTGGCTATGGTTAGTGGGGGTTTAAAACCCCCGCTATCTCATTCATATTGCAGGTGAGAACGAAGAAGAAAGCTGAGGTGTCCAAGCGTGGTTGGGTGATTCAAATATATGGCGCGTTTTTTTTTTGTTTTATACCATTAACCTTTGTTTTATTATATAATATTTGTTTTCCATTGTATGTACAAACGCGCACAATAGCTCAATTCGCAAGGGACGTGGCTTGGTGAGTGCTGGAACCTGGGTTCGATTCCCAGGTCCCCCATATATTCTTCATAATTTTTATTCTAACACGTTCAGGTACATCACTCATCCAATGTCCCACCATGCATCCTCACGCATAGCTTGCCAAGTGGCTTTGATGATCAATCTGAAGGCCACAGAATGAAGTCCAGGGTATGGCGCAGTCAACCAACGTGCACACAAGCATGGAAAGTCAAACGAGCCTTGGATAATGGGCCTGAATTCCTCTCAAACAAACCTCCCCTTTGGGCCTGAAACCCCCTTTGGTTTGCATCCTTTTTATTTTATTTTCTTTTCTTTTCTAATTCTTTTTAATTGTTTTAATTGTTTTTTCACCATAAAATAATTTTCATAATAAAAAAATCAGAAACCAAAAAAATGTTTTATATTTAATTATTATTAATTTCACCATTAACATATTTTTGTAAATAAACTCTAATAATTAATCTAGTTTAATTTTGGTTTTTAATTTCAATCTTTTTCTTTGATAAATAAAAATGCATAGAATTAGGTTTTTGACATTTTATCTTTTTCTTAATTAATTTTTCCTCATTATTTATTATTATTAATTATTATTTTTGTAAATAAACATGTAAAATAATTAATTAGTTTAAATTAGGTCAACTTTGACATTTTCTTTAATAATTAAAATAATCTAGATTTAGGGTTTCCTTTTAATTCTTTTTTTCTTTATTTCCATAATAAATACAAAAACATAAAAAACACTTTTCTTTAATTAAATAATTCATTAGGTTTTAATTTAATTTAATTTCAAGCAAAGGGTCAAAACCCTCGGACGTTCAATTTTATTCTTTTCGCGCATTATTTTTCTTATCAATTATTATGTAACTGCTTTCCGGATGTAATAGTAATTAGGTTTACCGTATTTATTTACTTTCCGCATCTTTTATCAAAAACGGGTCTTTGTATTTTGGCGATGTATAGACCCGCGCCTTGTAATAGCGTAGCCTTTATTTTCCTGTATTTTACTTTCCGCACTCTTAAATTCTAAATTGCATGAAAGAATGTATGTCAATTAAAAATAACGCGTAGCTCATAATGCCATGATCAAAGATAACTGTTAAACTGAAAATAACACACAAATACACATACCACTTCTAGGGTACGCCTCACTCGTTGCCTTCGAAACGTGGTCGTCAAGTATAGGACGTTTTAGCGGTCCTTATGTCCATGATCCAGTTGCCTCGAAACAGTTGCCTCGGAATAGTTGCCTCGAAACGGTTGCCTCGGATTAAAAAAGGATCAAGGACATAAGGGTAGCTTCTAAGGTGTCCTAACTGTTGCTTCGGTGACCACACTGTCCCTACAATCGAATTGACCCGAACACCTCCAACGGTGGTGCTACCTACCTCTCAATGGTGGGATGGCACTACTTTAAGGACTTATACACAGCCTAATTCCTTAGGGTAGGTAGATGACTCATGGATACTTGCTCTCTTCAAAATAAATCAAAAAACCCTTTTCACACCGACACTTTCAAAAAGCTTTCAAAACAAATTTTTCAAACACTCTTGAGGACAGATACAAGAGTCATTCAGAAATCTTTCAATGAAACTTTTTTCAAACCCACTCACAATTGAAAAGCAAACATTTTGAAAACATAAAGAGCAAGTATCTAAGAGCCCATGGATAACCATGGATAGAAAGGGTGCTAACACCTTCCCTTTATATAAATCTACCTCCCGAACCGAGAGACAATCTCATAAGGAATTTTGCTGTGCTTTTGTCCTGTCCATGTTGGAGAAAATAAAAGACGATGGCGACTCTTGCTTCAGCGACATTTCGCGAACCAGCGTTAAACAGTCAGTTCTAAATCCACCGATCACAAGTCTATTTCAGTCAGTATCTTTCTTGATGTGTGTTCAACATCCTTACCGAGCATGCATCAGTGATATCTTTGTATGTGTCCATTATCCTTACCGGACATATATATTCGAGTTCCCCTTCGATCGGTGTTCTTTGGTTGAAACCACCGTGTTAGATTTCTTCCTTCTTCGATACCTCTGGTCGAGATCTCTTTGTTAGATCTCTTTCATATTTGATATCTTCGGTTGAGTACAATGTGTTAGGTCTCTCCCCTTTTTGATATCTTTGGTTGAAAGCAATGTGTTAGATTTCTTCCTTCTTCGATATCTCTGGTCGTGATCGCATTGTTAGATCTCTTGCATCTTTGATATCTTCGGTTGAGTCTGTTATGTTAGGTCTCTTCCCTTTTTGATATATTTGGTTGAAATCACTATGTTAGATTTCTTCTTTCTTCGATATCTCTGGTTGAGATCGCTTTGTTAGATCTCTTCCATCTTCGATATCTTCGATTGAGTCTGATGTGTTATGTCTCTCCCCTTTTTGATATCTTTGGTTGAAATCGTTGTGTTAGATTTCTTCCTTCCTTGATATCTTTGGTCGAGATCACTTAGTTAGATCTCTTCCATCATTGATATCTTTGGTTGAGTCTCCTTTGTTAGGCCTCTTCCATCCTTGACATCTTTGGTCGAAATTGCTATGTTACATTTCTTCCATCTTTGATATCTTTGATTGAAATCGTTGTGTTAGATTTCTTCCTTCTTTGATATCTTTGGTCAAGATTGCTTTGTTAGGTCTCTTCCATCTTTGATATCTCCGGTTAAGTCTGTTGTATTAGGTCTCTCCCTTTTTTGATATCTTTGGTTGAAATCCATGTATTATATTTCTTTCTTCTTCGATATCTCTGGTTGAGATCTCTTTGTTAGATCTCTTCCATCTTCAATATCTTCATTTGATTCTGTTGTGTTAGGACTCTTTCCTCTTTGATATCTTCAGTCAAAATCACTATGTTAGATTTCTTCCATTTTTATGTTTCCGATTGAGTCTGCTTTGTTAGGACTCTTTCTTGATTGATATCTTCGTTAGAGTCTGTTAAAGTTGGCCTTTTTCTTGAGTATCTGATCTTTTTCTTGTATGTCTAATCCTGACCTAATGTCCAAGAGATTATACTCCCTGATAAACACTACTTACAAAAACAGAAGAAAAAAACAGAAAACTTAAAAAAAATGAATAATACCGACTGGCTTCAGAGTGCAAATTTTATGGTTCTATTAAGTATTCTATCCTCTTTCACCTTGCTTGTTCGAAAGGCTTGCGCCAATCTCACCCTCTAGTTAAAGAAGATTGAATAAGGGCAGCTATTGTACCCCAGAATTTTCCCTCTTCATTTTAAACATGATTGGCTTATACTTCATTACCATATGCATACATACATGACATTGGCTCTATGCTCATCGAATCGAGGTATTTCTTTGCAAGAAAGAGTTGTGAAAATTGACTGTTCCGTTAAGCAGCACTGTGAAGCAGAAGTCGAGGTTTTCAGCATTTTAATGCAATTCACATGTTTTCCAAGCTATCCAATCAACAACCAAGAAAGTCATCCACATTTTAAGTTCTTATGTGTTTCCGCACACTCTGAATTGTGCAGAAAGGCAAGCATTTCAGTCGATTTGGGACAATGCATACATAAATTTAGTACGGTGCATTTAAGAAAATGGTTTGGGATTGATTCTCCAGTCATTAGAACCTTCTTGAGGTCTTCTTCATTTAATCTGTTCATGTCGAAGGCTAATTTTATGAGGAATATTTTCTAAAGCGTAAAATACTTGAAATGCAGTATAAAGTGGATTTACTATTTCTCTGATTTTTAGACGCTTAAAAATTTATAACTTATGACTGGAGTATCATCCATGAGTTCCTCTTGGATAATTTGAATCATCTTGTTATTTCCTCCAACTTTCATGTTCGTCTAGAAAGCCAATTATTTGAGGAAGATCTCTGAATGCGCGTGTACTTTGAAGCAAAATAGTGAAAAGATAGTGAAAATATGATGCTGAACCGTTATCTTGCGGACATTTAAAAATTCATAACTTTCTCATGGATCGTTGTTTTTGATCCGTTCTTTAGGTGAAAATTTTGTCTTGATTTTAATTTCTTTTTGTATGTTCGGACCGAGAGCTAACTCTTTGAGGAAAGTCCTCGGAATTAGGGATTACCAGAGTAATTTATTATGCTGAACCAAAATTTTGATTCACCATTTTATGATATTATAAAAATCGTAACTTCTCTTATTTTTATCGTATCAAGACGATTCATTTGGCACAATTTCACAAATGATGTTAGCTACAAATTTTCTTCAGACCCCGAGTTCAGATTCTGACCGGTGGATTTTCTTTTGTGGTATTCTTTCCAAACTGAACGGAGAAATTAACTGAGAAAAATCTGCATTAGCTAACTCTACTTTGCGTTTGTGCATCTTCGAAAATTCATAACTTTCTCGTTGTTAATCCGATTGAGTCCGTTCTTTCAGCATCATGTCATAAATTTCGCAATCTTCGATATTGTTGTTGAGCTCGACTTGAGATTTCACATCGATGATGACGTGTCATTTTCTTATCGCGTTGTCCATTAAATTTTCTAACACTATCAAAATAAGGCCCAACCCAAATTCAAATTCAAGGCCCAAGTGGAGAGAGTATACATTCAAAAAATCATAATTTCTCTCATAAATTTACTCACTCCCCAAAACACCTCAAAAATCTCTCTCTCTATTCTCTCAAGGATCAAACTCCAATTTCTTTTAATTTTGCTCAAGAACACATAACACAAAAATCACAAATCAACAAAAAAATGGAATAAGTTTGAAACTCCTCCTCTCACATTCCCATGCAACTCCCGTCTAGTCTCCCCACCGGTTCGCCTCCGTGCGTCTGTTCTCTTGCTCCTTCCACCGCAAGTTTTTGCGGTATAACTCCCTTTGTCCGCCGCGAGTTGTGACGGTGCTTTTCCTCCACGTCCGTGTTTTCTTCCGGTGGATTCTCCTCTTTCTAATCGCATTCTGGACAACATCATCATCTCTCTTTAATTTGGTAATCCCTCATACTTTACCTTAAATTCTCGAATTGAATTGTTAATTGATTATGTTCTTAAATTGAAGCTTGGTTTGGATTACATGAGTTAAAATCTTGAAGTTTATTTGAGATATGTTGTTGTAGTTTAGGTGTTTGATCAAATGCTTAAGAGATAAAACTTGATTAGAATTGAATTTTGAGAAGTTATATTTTATTTGTGATGATGTTAAAGTGTGAAATAGGTTAGAATTGTGTTGAAATTGATTGATAAGGTTTGACTCTTGGATTAAAGAGAGGTTGATTTTTGTGACGTTGAAGAGAATTGAAATTGTTTGGTTAATCATTGAATTCGTTCATGTTTGAATCTTGAAGCATAGAATTATGCATAAACATGTTGAATTCAAATTGAGAAGTTGTAGCTTGGTGTTGAGGAGTAGAGTTAATTTTTGATTAAATTTTATAATTCTTGAATTGATTTTTTGTTGATAATAACATGAGTTGAATAATTTCGTGAAGATCACATGTTTGATTAAATGCTTAAACCTTGAGTTATTGAATTTTGTTGAAATGTTGAAAAGAGGCATAGGTTGAACAATTACTTAATTGATGTGAATTTTATTTTTGATTCGGTAAAAAATTGTTGACATCTTGAATACCGAATTATAAGTTCACATGTATTATGGAATTGTTGTTGAGATGTTGTTGTGTAATCATGTGTTGATATGATTTCCAATTCATTTTGCGAATAAACTCTCATTTTCGATGTAAAAGTTTCAAATTCGGAAATTAAATCATTACTTGATTTGTGGTTAAATTCAACCTTTTTGCACTTGGTTAATGGTTAATGCTCCATCCATTTGGTTTTGATGTTTGAACAACATTTATGCCATGATTTCTAAATTTCAGATTAGAATTCCACTTGGTTTGAGTTTTTATGGTGTGGTTGTCCGGAATAGTAAGTAATTACAATTCCATAAAAAATAAAAGGCTAAATTATAGTTTTGTTCTCCGAATTTTACCTGATTCACGAAATTAGTCCTTCCATTTAAAAATCAAACAATTTTGGTCCCCCTTTCACATTTTTCATAGAAAATCAAAGCAATATCCATATTTAACTTATATGTTTAGCTATAAAATTCCACAATAGGTTTATAGTTGTCAAGTTTCACAAGAAATTTGTCATTTAAAAAATGAAAATATTAATAATTTTAAGTGCAAAAGTACAAGAGGAGATCAATGTTGTTTAAATTTAAAATAGAAAGACCAATTTAGGAATCAGGTAAAAATAGAGGAACAAAAACTTTAATTAAGCCAAAATAAAAACATGAGATTATCATTATTTTAATTTTTATCAAATTTAAATTTTCAACAAGATGATTTAAAAACACACTTCGCTCTATGCCGAAGGACGAGTGCCTGAGGGTCCGCGTAGTGTTATATTTGCAAATAACCTTGCCTAGGGCGACCGCTTGGGGACGCCTTAGGAAAACACGATAACCTGAGGTCTCCCAAAGGGATGTATCGCCTCACCCTTAATTTTTCCTCGCATATGGAGAGAAAAAACACGAAATAATACGTGTCTTGTATAAAGAGAAAGTCATAGTCGTTATGACACATGTCTCCCTTCAGAATAAAGATTCAACTGTCCATCTTTTTATTAGGTTGGAGGTGAACTTTCCCAATAAAATCCTAGGTATTAAGAACTCTAATAAATACATTACCATTCAAAGGGATAAGGGAGGCTCTCAAGTCATATACATTTACTATTATCCACTATTACTCAGAGAGGACTTCGCTCCTAGTATCCTTAATATTATCAGTCTAACCACCTTCCAGCGACGTAGCAGCACCGACCGTCAATGGGGTATCTGACCTTACGTGAGATAGTCCTTAAATAGCCTCAAGAACCATTACAGGGCTAGTCGTCGTTGTGAGCTAGACCTCACCCCCAAATGTGTAATATACATACTAGGGCCTCTGAGTCTCCCTTTCCTTATAGGGGAACACGCACACAAACTTGTACATTTTGGACAATACAATTAGTACCTTCTCTCTTTTTTGAGGAAAAGAAATTTAAAACATTAAAAAATTGAGATAAAAAATGAACGACTTTTGTTTCATTCACTTTAATATATGACATCAAACATATAATTCTTAAATATAGTTCTATATGGCCAAAGACCCAATACAGTCGAAGCCCAATCCAATTATTCAACTTATATAATTAGCATACGAGGGATTTAATGTAAATTTTTTATCTCTATTTTTCACTCCAATCATAATAGAATCTATAATTGACTTGAGTGTTAGAGTGCTAACCTTGTAGGTCTATTCTGCACCATTTATTGGATATTAATATCACCGCTTCAACAGTCCCTGCAACTACAAAATATAACTTCGGTAAAACTAAATTACAACGGCCATATAGTTAACCGGGGTAATATCTCCTTTCTGGATGCGTTTTGTTTTTTATATTTATGAGAGAAACAATGCATTACAATGAAAATGGATCTAAGACAGTTGCGAACTTGTGTTTGCTGTGGAAATTTTATATGAGTCTTTCATATAATATTTTCATAGAGAACACATGTTTTCAACTTTTCATAGATTCCAAGAACGGTTAATTATCAAGTTCTCCCAATTTATGTTAATTATTTTATTTTTTTAGTGAGATTGTTATATCATATGCGATTTCTTGTTTTACTAATCCCTGATTGAACGTGCACTCATTTAAATATATTTTTAAGTTAATAAGTAAAAATATTAAATTATTCATGAAAATCAAATTTGATGATCCAATGTTTTTTTGAATTACATGCATCTTGTAGTTCATAATTTCCTCTTTAGCCTATAGATTTTGATTCAATGCCACAAATTCTTCAAAACAATGTTGATAAATAGATGTCAGTCCGAGTCTTTCACACAAATTTTGATGTTTGCAAAATAAACTAGAGGAAATAAATTTTTTTGTGAAAGACTTAAAAGACAACCATTCATCATCATTACTTTGAATAATTCAAGATTGAATCTAATTCTATGGGTTTGTCAGGAAATCATGAATTACAATATGCATGCAATTCGAAAAATATTGGATCGTTTAAGTTGTTTTTCAAGAATGATTTCATTTTTAAGATTATTATCTTTAAAATCTATTTGAATTATTGTTATGCTTAATGAGGGGTGTTGTACCCCAATTTTTGCCCCTAAGATTCTTCTATCATCTCATATCAAATCAATAACAACAAGATCACACTAGGGTTTGACTCTTCTCCCTATCTTTAGGTTTTCTCATGAGGAATCACTAAGCACGTTGATTTGTATATTGTTATTATATATGTTTTAAATTGATTAACTTTTAACTAACAAATACAATGAATTTTTGCTCTAATTGATGATACTATAGGTGAAAGCACAACACTTTTCATCAGGTGAATTCATAGGTTCATGGGTTTATTTCCATGCCTTCTCCAACAAATCTTTATTGATATTCAATAATAATTATTGAAGATACTTTAAATTAATATCATGACAAGTTCTACTATGATTCATCATGTCTCATTTTGTCAAAGAAAGTCAAAAGATGCAAGGCTTGATTGAAGAAGTTTGACCTAATTGGACAAATTCTTGATTCTTTGATCACAAGTACATAAATATCTCAATCTTTAATATTTGGAGGTGGTATTTGTTTCTATGGATTATTATTATCATCCACAATAACCTCTATTCACATGGAAAAAGTTATTGTGCAAGAAAGTTTGTCAAAATTGAAAAGGGTTTCCAAGTCATTTTGGTGCATTAGGAGCTAGGGTTTTGAACTTCTAAGGGCTATATCTTGCTCATCTTTTGAGATTTTTGTGTGATTCCAAAGACATACTTCTCTTTAAAAGGTTATAAACAAATCACTTCAAATTTTTCAAGAAAATTTTGTGTGGAAGATTCCTATTGATGAAGAAAGATTACAAGTCTTGTAGATATGCCATCAAATTTCCTTATGTGATTTCAAAAGATCATAACTTGTTCAATTTTTATCTCCTTGAGCCCATTATTTTCCACAATGATCCTAAGGATGTGAAATTCAACTCTTATTTTATGTTCAAAGCTTGAAAATGAGTTGAAGATACCCTAAGAACTCAAAAGGTTATAGGTCACCTCATGAATTTTCACCAATTTTACCAGGACATAAATTTTTCAATAGTTAGTATTTTTGAGTGATTCAAGTTTCAATATTCTATTTGGGAAGTCTACTTCAAGATAGAATCAATGATTAAAGCTAAATTTTGGAGGGAGACTGTGATACGGTGGGAGAACTGACTTGAGTATTTTGCGTTTGATCGCAAATGTTGCGGTTAGCAAGAGTCGCCATTGACTTTTCTTTTATCCAAAAGGAAAGGCGAAAAAGCACAAGAAAGACCTTTGAGATTATTTCTTGAGTTCGGGAGGTAGATTATGAAAAGGGAAGGTATTATCACCCTTTTCATCCATGGTTATCCATGGGCTCTTAGTTACTTGCTATATCACTTGCTTTTGTTTGAAATTGTGCTTTATATGGTTTTTTGAAAGTATTTTGTAAAGAGGCCATTGTTTAGGCAATCTTTGTAATGATTCTTGTTCGTAAGAATGTATACAAATATGTTGATATTTTGAAAATGTTTTCAAGTTTGTAAGATGTTTGAAAGTGTAAGTGTTTGTTTTGAAAGTAGCAAGGATGTTTGTTTTGAAATGGAGCAAGTAATTGGGAGAAATCTACCTACTCAAATGTCTTTCTTGTTCATTTTCTTTTCCTTTGACATTGTTGTCTTACCATTGATTTGGTAAGCAACCCTATCTTTGGATGTAAACGAGACGGGCGTGGGTCATCGTATAACGATGATTAGCAATGTTGCAAGGTATCTTAGCATTATTTTTGAGGGACTAAGATCATTTGAAAGGAAACTTAGATAACGTCATCGAGGGACCTTGATCTTGTATTTGCTTGTTTTTGCTAAGATACCTCACATGCGT